CAGATCTCCCAGCTCTTGCAGTGGGCAGGTCCATTTGAAGAATGCCTCTCTGATGGCAGACAGACTGCACCCAATATTGTGCCAAGTCACTCTCCATTTGTAAATATTAGAATGTGTTGTAGTTACAGATATAGTAAAAGAAAGAAGGTTTAAATTATACAGCTGAGAAACACCAAATGAAAATAAATGTAAAACAGCACATGATGTGTGTGCTGTTGGTCTCTAGTCTTGATATTAGATAGTAAAGATAAGAAACACAAGCTAAGGTCACTCAGTTGAATGACCCTCATGTTTTCCTAAATGTCTATTTTTGCTTCACCTAAGTCTGTGTAATCTGCTTCTCTTTCACTCATATTTTCTCCTGTGACTGTGTTTTAAAAGGAAGGCTTAAGCAGAAAACATGTGTAGACAGGTTATTTGACACATCTTTCATAATACTAGCTCTAAAGGACTAAAGATGGTGATTAGCAAAAGGCAATGGAAGAAAGTAAAGAGTATGCCCACATAAAGACAACTGCTGAGCAAAGGATGTGGTCTGTGTAGTTGTACATGACCTGGCTGGTGCTTATCTGGAACAGGGAGGAGTCCTTCAGTGTGACCAAAGAGAAATACTTGGTATGGAGGAGGGAGGGGCAAGTCCTTCTCTTGTTTGGCTAGAAAGTCAACTTGTCCTGCTGTGCTGTTCAGAGGTTTTCCATAATAAGGAGGCAGTGGTACCAGAGACCAGAGGAGCTGCAGGTCCCAGGGAACTGCCATTACTGGAACTTGCCCTCACATGCAAAGTACAAGTTTAAAACAGGCATGTTCTCCCATTTCTGTCATGTGACTTATTAATTCAAGAATTTTTATGCATCTCTGCTGTTCTCAGGCAAGGATCTGACAGGAACTCTTGATCTAGCACTGGGGAAAGACATGGAGGACATGAAGACATAAATCAGGTTTTTCTGAGCACAGTTTGAGTGTAAACTACAAAACACTGCTGCTGCTCAGGATACCTAAGCTGCAACTGAGCTTAGCTACTATTAATTTCCTCTGATGACATGTACTCTTTCTACTAAATACTCCTGCTTAAAGAGTTACAGATCAAAGGGTGAAGAAAAAACTTGTAGCTCTACAGTCTTTCTTTTTTTTTTTTCTGTTTGTTTTTGGGTTTTGCAATAGTGATATTTTTTCCCAAAGATCTTTAATGCTTGTATAAAAGGCACTTTCCAAGGCTTAACCATGCCACTGACCTATGCTGGACACGTTGCAAATTGGACATTGTCTTCTGTATACTAGGCTGCAGATTTCTAACTCTTTGCAGTGTTGACGCCTGCTCTCACAAAGAGAAGGAAATGAAGCAGAAAGATCCCACTGCGACAATTAGTGGCTCACAGAGAAGTATTGAAACAAATAATAAGTGGCTGAAACAATTCAAGGGAGGGAAACACTAGCTTCCTACTCTACCACAATCTAATCTTCTTTCTCAGATTCTCTCTTTCCTTATCCCAATGGGGATTTTCACACACTTTCATTCCCACTGTTAGTGTGAAATGATTCTTTGTGACCAGCAAGCAGCAATTTAGTCCTACAGCGCTCTTCTACCCTCTTGTCTGTTGTTAGTCTTATCATTTTATGCTGTACCCTTGTCTGAGTTTTTGAAGTAGCACTAATGTCTTGTTCCCAAGCTGCTGTAACACAAAGAATTTTAATGAAACTAATGGAAATAGATTCCTCCTCTTTCACTGAGGCAGCTGGCCAAAGAACTGGCTCATGGGCAGGAAAGTCCTTCAGCTTTGGAAGTAAAAAATACCCCAGTACCCCTTGCATCTCAAAGGGGAATCTTTGCAACTTGCTGGGTGAGTGGGGCTGGTGGCTCTCCCTGCCCTGACTCGAGGAGATGAGGTGTGACTGAATCACCACATGCTGAAGAGATGATCAAGTGGGTGAGCTCATGTGGTTATGTGTAGATGTGGCACGCTGATGCATGGTTCAGTGGTGGGCTTGGCAGAGGTGGGTTTACAGCTGTGAGTCAATAATCTTAGAGGTATTTTCCAGCCTTGATGGTTCTATGATTCCTGTCCTACACTCAGATCTTTCTTGGCTTGATGAGTTCTTACCTCCCTTAAAAGCATTGTTTTCTGCAGCATCTTTTGCCAGCAAATTAAAGCTTTAAACAAGCATTTCCTTTATGAGTTACTGCAATTACATTTAATCTCCTAGTGAATGCTGCTTTCTTTCAAGCATTTGTATTTTGTTCTCTATTTAAAAGAATGATGCCATTTCACATCCCCCTTGATATCCACTTCTTAGAAAAAAACATCCAACAGTCTGAGTATATTGGGTGGTTTCATCAGATAGCCACGTTTGTTAAGTGAGACCATGAAAGATCTCAGATAACATTGCAGTGCACGGAGGGGACTCTAACTCTGCAGTTGTTCAGAGCAAATTGAGTGTCTGCTGCACAGATAAGGGGTGGGAAGGATTGCTCCTCGCCCCCTCAGCAGCAGGACAACTTCCTCAAGCACTGCTGGGAAAACATGATGCACGCTGTTCTGAGCAGTTCAGCAGCAGCAAGGGGAGGAGGAGATGCAGCGATGACAGACAGGACCCTGCACTAGCTCTTGGGAGGGAGCAATCACTCCAAAACTCAAATAGCAAGCAAGAGGGAAGTTAGGAAAATTAAAGTAAAGGCAGCAAAAGAGACATAGAAGGAAAACAGTGACAAGTGTATGTTACTTGGCTTTTCAAAAGGCCTCCTTGAGGTCTCTGCATTAATGTATCCTGTTGCTAGCTGTGCCCAGCTGAACAACCTTTGGCACCTTCAGAGTGGAGGCTAATGCTGTTCAGCTGCCCTTAATTGAGAACAAGTTTTCCTCCCCTAGGGGTGATAAAATTTGGTGGCTAAGTTTCAGACTGGCACAGGTTAAGTAATCTTTCTCCAATATCAGGAGTTAGGAACTGTCTCAAGCAGAGCATTCCCATTGTGTAAACTAAGTGCAGTAATTAATTCATTAATACCTTAGTACTTAGGTCTTTGCTTTTGAAAAGAGCTCCTGTCTGTAGTCCATCTGGCTGCAGTTGAGTCTCTCCCTGAAGCAAACAGTAGTCATGCAACTGGCAGAGTAGGTGAAATACAATGTGTACTCTGAGCAGAGGTTAGAACTAAAATACTGTAACGTGCCAGAGCTAGTCTTGCTCACATGCTACCTGGCTTAGAAATTAGTCACTTATTTGTGTGCTTCATTAGATCATAGTCAGAGCAGCACAGCATTTGCTTCCGGAGAGATTGTCTACCACTGCCAAGCAGGCTTCAGTCTAGGTTCTGAAGCTCGGGTGAAGTTCTACCTGATAACAAACCACCTCATAACTCAGGAGGCACTGGCAGAATTCTTTCTGGATTAAACCTGTTGTTTCCATACCCATTTTCTTCCTACAAATGAGACCTCTTGGAGGTAGCATAGCTACCCTTCTGTTAGATTATAATGCAGCTTTTCTTTGCATGTGAGAAATCGTTACCATACAGCTGTGCACAGCTGTCTTTTTGCTACCAAGATCTGCCATGGTGCTTACAAGGCATCTGAAACTGCTTGGGAGTGCTATGGCAATTGCCTGGTGAAGACACAGGAGAAAGTAAGTTTTCTGCAGCAGATATTTTGCTTAGAGCTTATATCTATACATGAACTTGGGAATGGAGAAGGTTGCTTTTGTGCAATGAATTGCACAGTCAACACATCATCTTTTACTCTTTTTGTCTGGGTTCAAGTGTAATGAATCCCAAAATGCTGGCAAGAAAAAAACACCTGTTTTGCTGTGCTTTAAAATAAATACATTCACCTGGCTGGGCCAGCTCCAGCATAATACTAATAATATTTTTGTGGGTTTTTAAAACATTAAACTAAATGTTGCAATGAACTGTTGCCAGTGACTATCTGGTTCTAAGGTTTAGAGCTCATGCTGGACACTTTATTGCTCTTTTCAGTGAAAATGCCTTTAGGGATCTTAGGTCCAGTACAGTTAATATAAAGCAGGAACAGAAACAGAATTCCAGGCTTTTTCCTCAGACTCTAACTCAAAAGTTACCAAGAGAAGATCCTCCTCATAGTTGCTTATGGGTGGTGTGGTTTTCACAGTGCCAGTGTATCACTGTTACTGGCTCGGTTTCAGACCTCAGACGTTTAAGCAAACACTGTCAGGAACACATATTACTTTCTAGTTGTCAGTATTTTTTCTGGAAGCAACTGGTCTTTCACCCAGTAGAGAGATGACAGTTGTCTCTCGCGTTTTCTTGTCGTGTTTGAGGTCAGCAGTGTGGGGTCCCTCAGTGTCCCCGTCTCAAGAGCGAAGGGCTGGAAGAACTGAAGTCGGTTGGAGTACAATGTACCCATTCCCCTGCTCCGGCCGCGCGGTACCTGCCCGGCCGCTCCTGCAGAGGAGGGTGCGCAGCCAGCCCGGGGCAGCGCTGCTCTGCCCGGTAGCCTCCGAACGCCGCTCCCGCTGGGCACCTGCGCTCCGGATGCGCGGGGCAGCCCCGCCGCTGGGTCCCTCGCATCCCATGCCATACTCCGCCTTACACCCCGCACGTCCGTGCAACGGCGGCGCTGGACGGTGCGGTGCCCCTGCGCCTCCGCCTTGCAGTTCCCCGCTGGACATCGCCGCTGGAATCCCGGCCCGCCGGGGGAAGGCGGGAGGGAGGGAGCGCGCGCGGACTGCGCGGCGCGGCCGGCAGGTGGCAGCAGCCGGCGCGCGGCTCCTGCGCGGGCGGCGGGCGGGAGCGAGGGGAGAGGCTGTGGCTGAGCCCCGGAGCCGCCGGGAACCTGCTCGGGTCCTGCGGGGCTCCGGCATTCCCGGCCGAGGGCGCACCGCCTCCCATGCGCCGGGGGCCGCGCGGCTCTCAGCCCTCTCGCCCCCGTGAGCGCCTCGTCGCGGGGCGCCGGACGGGACGGAGCGGTGAGGCAAGGCCCGGGAGGGTGGGCGCGCCAGGTGGGCGGTGGGCGCCGTGCCGGGGGCGCGGGCAGCGCCCAGGGCGGCGGAGCCCGGACCTGGCGGAGCCCGAGGCCGCGCTGAGGGGCTGCTCCGCGCCGGGTGTGCGCTCGGAGCCGCGGCCCGCGGGCTCTCGCCCTGCCCCGGCTGCGGGAGCGCGTTCGGCTCGGCTCCGCTCCGCGGGATTCTTGCGCCGCGTGTTTTGGCTGTGTAAGTAGCCATTTCAAAGCTGCTCTCCTCGCACGCTCGGTTTCCAGGAGCTGCATCCAGAGGCAGCGTAAGGAGCTGCTTCGTTTTGCCTCGGTGTCCCACCAGAAGCCGTAGCTGCACGTAGCCTGAGCCGAATCCAGCAGTTTGTACGGGAGAGGGAAAGAAGCGGATAACTGGCCTCATGAAGAATGCGTGTTGCAATTGTTCTTGCTTGGGGCCAGATCTTTTGGTCTAACTAAGCACAGCGTGCAGAGCATGAACCGCGCTTGGCGTTCGGTGTTTCCCTGCGCGCTTTCCTGCCTCTGGCTTTGTTACCATCTCTCCTTTAATTCTACCAACACTTGAGCTGTTTGTGCTCACTTGTCAGGCTAGAGGGTATGTGCTGTAGCAGACGAGAATCTTGAAATACCTTTTCTTCTCCAGCTGTGGCTTTACATTTTTGCAAATGTCAGTGTGTCCATACCTGTGTGTTTCATAGCTCTTGACACACTTGACATTAATTCATCCAAATTATTTTCTTCCAGATTTTACATACATGAACAGTTTAGAGAGGCTGGCAGCAGTGAGTTCCACAAGTTACTATGTTGTGTGGAAAAAAACTACTTCCTTTTGCTTCTTTTAATTTTTGTGCCTGATACTGTATGGACCTTTTAAGATGAATTATGCTTGGTTTTTGCTCTCTATCTCTGTGCTATTTCAGAGCTGTGTTCTTTCATTATCTTCTACCTCAGCTATTCCTTATTTCAGGTTAAAGAATTCTTAGCTTTTTAGTCACCTTTCTTCTGTATCTCTTGCCAGTGTACTCTTTTTGGTATTGTTTTTCATTTTTTTCATAATTTTTTTTTAATCAAGGGATCAGCAAAACTGAGCTATGTGCAAGATTTCAATACAACAGGGTTATATAAGGGCATGATGATGTCTGCTGGCAGAAATGGCAGATAATTTGGTGCATCAATATTGTGAATAGCCATCAAAAGTCATAGAAATATTTGTAACTCGATGTGTCACCTGTTGATAAATCAGTGTGATTTATTTTTTTAATCACTGTCTAAGGCACTAGTGGTTAGTAGCTCAATACAAGGGTATAAGGTTATGAATAAAATTGTTGCCTGATGAGCTCTTAATATTCTGTCAGTCTGCTGTGCATGTTCTTCCTGTCTTCTGTGGCAAGAGCAGGAACAGAAAATAGCCCAAATCTGTCTGTTTATTGCTGTTTGTGGAACTGCCAGTGCACTCTTAGAAAGTTGATCTACCAAGCTGTAGCTTGCCAACTTGGACTTCTTTCTGGTGTAAACTTAGTAGTAATCTACTGGTTGATGTGGTTTTCATCTATTCAGTATAATCAGGGGTTTAAAATGAAACTGATATTGCTGATATTCATTAGACACCTGCAATTCTTGATGCTTTCCTTTTCACCAGGGAACTCTGGGAGAATGGATTTAAGCAGACTAGGAGGAGAGACTGCCTTTAACAAGAAAAGTGCTGCAAAGTGAGCATTTTTAGCCAATTTAGAAACATGAGGCAGCTGGTATTGATTGTCATAGGGAGTCCTTCAAAGTGAGTATAGGAAGGAAATATGGATTATTTGTCACTATTGTGCCCTGAACATAACTTCTCAGGTTTTATCTAAGAGCAGGGCTCACCCCAGGTCTTGCTGATGATGATTTTAATCTGAAAAAGCTCCATTGTAATTAAGGAGTAATTTGATTCCTGACTAACTCTCAGAAACACTTAGAGGTGTTGTATGGTGCAAGGTTCAGTCTTTCTGCATTTCATACAGCAGGTTCCTTCAGAGCTCCAGCAGATTTAATTGTAGAAAATTAATTAGGTTGCTCCCAGGCAGTGATGGGTTTTATGATCTCAGAACAAAGTCTTTGGTTATGCTGTAGAGCAAACTGAGTAACTGTGTTAGAAATGTGCGTTAAATGAAGGCTGAAAACAAAACAAGAAAGCAGGATCATCTTGAAGACTCACATTGGCCTCAGTGTGTGGTTCTGTGCAGACAAGACAGCAGAAAAGCTGGGTTTCCACACTCTAGTCTCAGTTCTCTGTGATGTGACATCAGGTGTGTGATATTCAGACTATTCACAGTGGCAGTTATAGTAAAAACAGAAGTGGAGTGCTGGTCAGACACTTATTGGTATTTGGGATTTTCTTTTTTACTTTGGAAATCACATTTATCATCTGCAGTGATGTGCAGTCATTGCAGACACTTCTGTGGGCATTAAATTCTGTACAAGAGAAGTAAGATTAGGTGGTTAAGCACTTAAAAAACCCAAGGAGCTCCAAAGTCAACCATGCATAAACAATTTTAGCTGTGTCCCCTGTAGTGTTGTGTTATCATAACAAGCTTCAGGTTTGGAAGGTTGTTATTTTTTGCAAATAGGAAAAAAAGTAAAACAAAACTTACTGTGTCAAACAAACTTCTTAAGGAGTTTGGACCTTGATAGTAGCCCTTTTACCATAAAGCTGATAGGGAAAGCATTTTGTAGCTTTGAACTGTGAAATGCTTCCAGTGGTAACAGTGCTGGCTGAAGAACAGATTCTGTGACAAGCCTTGTTCCCTTGAGTAGGCACATATTATTTAGTTAGTAGTTACTACTACATATTAGTAGTTCAGTTATTAGTTCTTTTTTTTTTCAGACAGCAGTTCTACCTGCAGTTTGGACCAGGACTCCCTTGAGTAGGCACATATTATTTAGTTAGTAGTTACTACTACATATTAGTAGTTCAGTTATTAGTTCTTTTTTTTTTTTTCAGACAGCAGTTCTACCTGATCTAAATGCAGTTTGGACCACGACTTAGGTAATTGCAAAGCTAATTACCATTTGGATATATGTGACCAATGAACATGGTTGCATTGTTAGCAGCATAAGTAACAGTGTTTTGCATTGCAGTAGCTTTGATTTTTTTCAGGATAGTTAGTACTTTACACTAGATAATCCTGTTCATGTATATTAGATTTTTAGGAAGAATGCATTGTTTAGTACTTCATTTAGAAGATTAATTAGAAGGATGTTAAACAGATATAAAAAAAATTGATTAACAGAATCACCTGATGGACCTGATTTTGCCTCGTATCTTACTCTGTATAAAGGAAGCAGAGCTGAGACCGTGTGCTTTAGTGTTGCCTGATTATTTTTTGTTCATTTTTGTACTTTGTGTTAGTGACAATAACAGATTCAAATTCTGTAATTTAAACCAACTCAGTTTTCTCCTCCTGGCATGTTCTGTCCCACCCATTTTTCTCTTGGGAGCTTGAGTGTCATGTCACACATCAAATTTGTGTAACCCCTGCAGGGTTATGGCATTCCCAGAGATGGGTCAGCGTTCAGAATTCTGGTTGCTGTTAAACAGTCAGCACTTGTCAGCACCATCTACAGACATCTGTTACATATTTTTTAAATGGTGGTACCAAATGTTAAATGTGGGGCTTCTCCACAGGAGCTGTTCTGGCACTAGAAATGCAGATAGGATCTCAGTCCAGTCCTTGTGAGGGCAAGTAGCCCTGTGGGCTGCTGAGGTGATGGATGTGTGAGTTCCTGGAATGTGGGCTTCTGGTTTCAACACTCCATTGGCTGCTCTGTGCTCCTCATCCAGGCCGTTGGCATTTTGCTTTATCTGAACTCGTTCCTCTATCTCTGAACTAGGTATGATAATTGCAGGATGTTGGTCAACTGTTAAATTTCCTGAAAATAGTTTGCATGCAAAGATACAAAAAAAAAAATTGCATAAGAATATTTATTGTACATGAATGAACCCAAATTATGTAGTATGTGCTTCATAGGTTTATTACTGTGTTTCTCTAAATCACAGCTTAAGGTCTTGCTTGTTGGCTATTTCACATCCATCCTGTGCTGCTCCTACTACTTGGCATCCCACTTCAGTATTTATTTTGGTCCTGGTTTTGGAATTTCCCTTCACAGGAAGATTCCAGGCTCCTTATATGGAAAAATGTATTTTAAAAAATTTACTTTTTCCATCAGTTTTGTAGATTTTTTCCTCAATAAGTGCAAGAGCCACTATCTCTTATTTAAAGCTCTGGTCTAAGAGCCAGTAAAGTCAAGGAAAAGGTTATCAGCAACTTCAGTGTCTTTCAGATCAGGCCACTCCCACCTGATGTGCTCTTGTCATTGGAAAGCAGGACCACTGATTTCAGCCATGAGTTTCCAGTGTTTTCTTTGACACTACAAGAGTTAGTAACTTGTTCTTTAACTTGACAAGTTATACTTGTTGTATAGTTGGTTCCAAGAAGTGGAGCCTTTGGAAGACTCTCTGGGTACTAGAAAAATATTTAACTTACAGGACTTGGTAGATAAAATTCATCCCTTTTCAGAGGAGCCACTTGTTCATAACTGTGATCCTCTATTTCCCTTCCTGTAAGACTGCTATAAACACATCAGTTATATTTAGCCATATGTGATTAAGAGTAGAGAGAAATATAGAAAACTACCTTTTTTGAGTGTTATTTTTGTTGATTTAACTCACTTACTTGTGTTTTTTTCCTAAACCCAAGCTTCTTAAAATACAAACATTAATAAAGGAATAATCCCTTTTAGTAAATCCAAGAGATAACTGCTGCGACAACAGAAGTTCTAACTTCTGAGCTTTCTTTATCTTTGGCTGGGTTGTATTGACCTCTTCTGGTATCAAAATGAAATTTAGCAGAGAGACCTGGTAGTGAGCAGACTCCCAGTTTGTTGGTGAACTAGCAGGGCTGATGTGACACCTTGGACCTGGCTTGCCCAAGAGGTGGGACAAGGTCTGTCCTTTGGGACTGCATGGCCTGGTGAGATAAGAGAGCAGGGGGACAGGGCTTCCCAAAGTGAAGTGTTTTGTTGGGAGCCTGAGGATGCTGTCTGTAACACTGATAGAAGTACTGTGGTTTCCTGCTTGTTCCCTTCTATGTGACTCATGATATCTGAGTTGGAATGTGTTTTCTTTGCTCTGGTTTTGGGAAAAAGATGGATAAAGAAGCCCTTTTAAAAAGCCCTTCTTCA